CTCGGCACCCTTTGTTTAATATAGGAGATTGATCTAGGACCCTACGAAGCTCCGAAAGAGATAGTGCGCGTTGCGCCTAAGTTCTTAGATTATTAATCGATCATTGATTTGTTGCGTTCTCTTCATGCCAAACAAATGGTGAGATCATATGCCGTACCAGGTCAAGTTCTAGATAACGTCCCACGATATTTAATTCCTTATTCTTTACGCCAAGGCTTTTCGAACTATTCGCCCCTGTGAAGAGCGTTCCTGGCAACCGAGGTGGCGGTGATAGTCTTGATACTTGGCGCTCTATACTCCTCAACGAACTGCTGACTCTCTTTATAGGAACAAAGTCGAGCATAGTTTTTCAATGCACCGGAAACAATTACATCCACCCAAGGATGAATAAAAATTACTAACTGTCACTTTCACGACAAATAAAACTGCACCTACTGTGGTATAACGCTCTCCCTACCCAACCGAATTTCTGCTTCATGTAGGGTGCTCGGTCTATAGAAGCCTGGCTATGTTTTCGAAACGTACCGCCTGGACGCAGATGCTTAGTGCTCCTGCATGTAAATCATCGTAGATTGATGCGCTGTTGCTTCGCTTTTTATAGCTCTGCTTTACAAATGCGTCAATTTGGCTAGGGGCCGTAGATTTAAGCATAAAGGAGAAGGATTAGGTCATATAGCTGGCTCTATAAATTCTCGGGTTGAATTATTAATTCGAATATTGATGACTCATTATTGAGTTAAGTGTTCTGTGCTAAAATTACCGCTTCTTCAAATGTTATGAGTTATTCGAAAAATACTTTGTTCCTGGCAGCGCCAATGCAAAGTCCTACCATAAAGACGGTAACAAGACCTACTTCAGAACGAGGACTATCCTGCATTGCATCTATACCTGTTTAAACGATTTTACATGGTTTGATGAGTAGTTCTTGTATTTAAGCGATTTGGTTTTCGGAGTACTTTCCGATCGCGAAGAAATTTGAAAAACTGAAGCAGCGACAAATGAAGTATGACTACTACCGTCTCAAGTACAGGCGCTTTTTTGCGTTACTTGAGGAAAACGCATAGTACGGAAGGCTGAAGATGGTGTGGACCTGGTTGCTAGCGTGCAAAGAAGATCACGATGTGATTGATATCATGCTCGGCATTCTGCTCCATGCGCGAGGTCAGGTGCTTCGACCGCGTCTACTAGAGGTGCTGGACCACGCAGAGAGCGTTGGTATTGGAACCAGGAATCGATGCTGCGTCGCAGGTACGATTACTTGGCGAGGACCGTTTGGTCAGGGAAATTCTCCAGGAGCCGACCAAAGCTTACACTTACTACTTGGAAGTGTTGAATGCTCAGCAACGACTGACACGTGTCATGGATAACTGCGAATTGTTGCTTGATAAGGCTGAGCTCTCAGTAGCTGCGCTGTTTTTTGTAGGAGTGATGAAGTAGCCCATCTGTGATGATGTTGCTACAAGAGGACGGAACGACCGTAGCGCGGCTAAAGGCTATTGGTACTGTTACACCAGCTCTTGCCGGCAGCAGCAGCACTTGTGCAAGTTCAAATGAAACTACTAGTGGGTCATGTTTGTGACTGAGAGTTTAAAGTAGTTTTAAAAGCTGTCTAAGTATTCATCGGAGTAGCCCGTTACATGAAATTGTCATTAAGGATAAATGACAAGAAATTATATCACATTAAATATAATTTCGACAATATCACAAAGGATGATGATATTGTTGGGATGACTGAAGGGTCTACTGATTAATTGACACCGTGATGATAATAACCCATCAATCGCTGCTAGCCGCGTGCAATGGGTGGTGAGTAGACGTCATCATACGTATAGCTGAACTAATTTCATAAAGTCTGGGCGAACAGAAACACAAGAGTGATAGGACTTAATTGTATTGAATAACAGTTTTACTTTTACCACGACTAGAGCCATTGCCTTAGCCGTTACCTTCCTCTGTGTAAGTGTTTACACCTAACTGGGCACTGACCTTTGCTGTAGTCAGTGAAAGGTAAACTCCGTACTGGTAATACAGCACGTTGACGCCGGTGCCCCGTTACAAAGTACTTCAACTACTTATCACCAGGGCTTCTACCCAGTTTTTTTGGGAGGTTTAGGGCACCCTTAGACCCCACAACCCAAAGGGGTACCCCCGGGTCCCATGGGGTTTTTCGTGGTGCACATGCAATACGCGCTCTGTCTAACTTGTGTATTATCCAATAGTAATGTAACACACATCATTTAAATCGATTGTGCAACTGTCACTAGTGTTACTGTCGCCTCGTGACGAAGCAACGCGCTAGAAAATAACCCTAGCGTAAAACGATAAAACTCTCTCTCTGCCCACATTTTCCCTCTTTGCCTCCACATGTTGCCATTCACCATGTCTAAAACCAGTGCCGACGTGCCCAACGATACCCTGGCGCCTTCTACCACCCGCTGCCGACGCCAATGAAGCCCTTTGCCCAGTCGTCACAAACGGAAGGACGGGCCGTGCACGCGGTCGTTCCCTTAACATTGACAAGTCTGGTAGCACGAAGGACCTGAACGAGCACCTGACAAAGGTCCACAATCTCAGCAATCCGAAGAAGAAGGACGAGAACAATTCATCGATTCAAAAGTATTTCTAAAAGGGGACTCTTGAGAAGGTGAGCTTGTGAAACGAATGTGACCTGCATTTGCAAAGACTGAATCAATCCATACTGTAGAATGTGGTGACCGGACAGGACCTCAAAACTCACATTGGATACTACATTGATGACGCCGACCTGCCGTTCTCCATCATCGAACCAAGCTCTTTTATCAATCTTTAGGCCCTGTAACGAGAATATACTCCAGATGATGGTCAAGGCCGACGCCATCCACAACCATATTTTCCGAATGTGTGCTCAGCACCGCGAATTCATCAAGATCAGTCATTCCAAGGTCAAATGGATCACTTTTACTTCCGATGCATGAACTTCACCCAACTTGAAATTCTTGATGGCGCTCACTGCTCATTGGATTGGTTCCGATTGGAAAACGCAAGAACTATTGCTGGAGAGTCCTGATGGGATGGGTTCGTGCATTTGTCAAATGGCATGGGTACTGTCGAATTTGACTCGCAGATATTCTTCTTACCTTCATCAATTATGTTTTTCAGGTGAGCATTATGCTCACAATTTTGCAGAACTGCATTACACCATTCTGTCCGACTATTAATCTGAGGATCCCTCTCTGTTATTACTGCCGAAAATGCAAGCACAAGCTTAGCTATATCTTGAGCTCTTTCCCTCATGGAGCATGTGAAGCCTAACCATTAGAAAATGCTGTTTGGTCGCATGGCTCACGTGATCCATTTGGCTGTAATGGATGAAAAACGGCTCTTGGAAGGAAAGAATACCTCAACGATGAAGAAGAGGAGTCCGCCGCCACATGTGTCATGTCAGTGAACAACATCACCACCCAACCTGATGTTTTCAATGTCAACTTTACTACATTCCCAACGCCTGTACACGACATGTCAGTCTATGACGATCTTCTGATCAACGTCACCAACTTTTTGACCAAGCTGTGGAGTACCATCAACAAGGTAATACTGTAGACTACTTGATTCCCAATGTCAAACGCGGTGTAATTCGACTAACCAGATGTGCTCGCGCTTTTTGCACTTACGGTATGTACTTGTGAATTGTTTCTTCCACTGATTGGTAAAAACGTTTTTCTTTTCGGTTCGACAGACCGACTGTGACTGGCGTCTGCCTCAGCGATGTCGATTATCAGAAATTTGCCGTTTTAAAAGAGGAATGAAAAAAGCTTGGTCAGCTCATGAAGTTTCTTTAACCTCTGAACACGGCCACGGGAAGGCTTGTGAGTTCACGTTTCCTCACGCTTGAGAAAGCTCTCCCGATATTTTTGCCCTCATTGTTCAATTGCAAAAGATGCGAAGCTATGATTTTAAAGTAGAGAATAAGAGATATCAATTTTTGTGTTCAGGCATATTTGAATCTTGCAGGTCAAACAGACCTACGACTCGATCAGCTTCGACAGCTAGCTAGAGACATTATTCAAAAGCTTGAAAAGTATCTCAAGGCGGCTCTCAAGAAACATGTTTACCTGCACGCCGTCATTCTCGATCCCCGCATCAAGATGTTTCTATTCAGAAAGCATGCAGGACATTTTGGTCAGCATGGCATCCATACTCGCATGATTCGTGAGAGCTTTGCTGTTGCTGCGATCCGCTACAGCACTCATGCAGCCTTTCCCATGGCCACTGAAGAAGCTGGTGAAGAGGTCGATGATTTTGAAGATTCCATTTATGCAAAGCAGCAGAAGATAACCAACGTGGAAGGGAAAATTGTGAAGTATTGGGGGAAAGGCCTGGCCAATAGAGATGTGGATCCTTTGGGATATTGGCACCGTCGACAGGTAAATTTTCCTAGTTTGGTCAAGATAGCCAGGGCCCTTCTGGAAATTCCTGCTTCCAGTGTCCCTTCCGAGCGTGCTTTCTCGATGGGTGGTTTGATTTGCAGGGATGAAAGGGCATCTCTGAACGGGGAAACCATTGAGATGCTGATTTGTATGCAGGACTGGTACAAGAAGTTGCCGAGTGTTGTTATGTAGAGAGGGTATAAGATCTGTTGATAATGCTATGCAATATATACCGATATGTATCTACAAATACATATGTAAACCCCCCTAGGGACCCCCCGGGGGGTTGACGTACCCCCCAAACCTCACCCGCCAGCTTCCCCTCGGGGGGGACCCCTGGGGTGTTCCGGTCCGGGTAGGAGCCCTACTTCTCACGATTGCAAATGTCCACGTCTGCCGTCTGAGTGGTCATTATTACCAACGCTGTGGACAGCCAGGCCCGCTGCCCAAGTCTTGTATGCGAAGCTGGATGCGCATTTCATCCACTCATCACGCAGCATGCCCTTCCTATGGCTCACTTTCCACGAATCAGCATCGTCCATGGTAGCGGGAAATTCAAATTCGCAAACGACACACCTCACTTCAACTTTGCCAATGGGTGTACGCGGTCTTCTGCCAGCGCTCAAGAGCGTCACCGATCAGGTGCACGTGTCCAAGTACGCCGGAAAGACAGTGGGTGTCGATGCCAGTGGATGGCTCTACAAGGGCGCGTATAGCTGTCCCGTGGACCTTGTGTTTGGACGACCGACCGACGCGTGCGGAACGAATTAGCCTCTGATTTAGACCTGCCATCGAAAATTCGTGCTAAAAGTGCAACGTGGTGACCGGAACAGGTACTTAAACTATGCCATGCAGCAGCTCCACCAGCTACGAGCACACGACATTACGCCCATTTTAGTATTCGATGGAGCTCCTCTACCTGCGAAGGCACAGGAACACGCTGCTCGAAGCAGGTCGGGCCGAAACAAAACAACAGCTCTCTTGCTACAACGTCGCCACAGCTCACTAAACTTTAGCTTATTTGCCACTTGTTCACCAGGTCCCGCGCGGAATGGAGGCAGAAGGCTGAAAAACTACTTGAGGAACAGAACAAGCACCCAGAAAGCAGTCGTGCTCTTTTCACGGCATGTGCGAGAGCTGTTGCCGTGACGAACGAGATGGTCAGGACCCTGATGACAGTACTCCAAAACATGGACGTCAGGTTTTACGTTGCGCCCTATGAGGCTGACGCTCAGCTGGCTTTTCTATCGAAGCACAAGATTGTCGACTTGGTGATCTCGGACGACTCGGACTGCGTGCCATACGGCGTCAAGACAGTGCTGTTCAAGTTGGGTGCTACTGGATGGGGCAGTGAACTCAGGCGAAGGAGCTTGATTGCGAACGAAGACTTGTCGTTCAATGGATGGACGGAAGAGATGGTTCGTGTAACATGACTGCTGCTGCTGCTCTTGGCATCCAGATGCAGCAAAGCGATCGCTGATCTGTAGTTGTCTGTTGTGGAAGAGCAGTTTATTCAGCTATGCGTGCTTGCTGGATGCGACTACTGTCCGTCCATTCACGGCATCGGTATTGTCACAGCCTACAAGCTTGTGAGTCAGTGCAAGACACCAGCGGAGGTAAAGTGCGGGGTGTGGTCAATTTTCGTTGCTTAAGAACTATTCATTTACCAAGCAAAGTGCACAGGTGCTGAAGGCGCTGCAGCAGAAAGCCGAGAGACTAGTGCCTGACGACTTTGCCGAGCAATTTTACTCGGCGATTCTCACCTATCGTCATCAACTGGTCTTCGACCCGCGCGATGCAGTAAGTTCTGGCACCTTCTTAATCTGTATAGCGTGTTGGAACCTTACACTAATTTGCTCATTCATGCCAACTCTAGAAGCTCAAAATGCTCAACCCTCTTGACGTGTCAATGGATATTCTCCCGAAAGTAGACACGGGCCTTCATTTCCTCGGCAATGTCGAGCTTCGAAATGATGTCGTTGCGAGCATTGCATCGGGACAAATTCATCCAGTCACGCACGAAAGTTATGCGTGGAAGAATACCGCCGCCGCCGACTTATGTGAAGATGAGGCAATCGGAAGCCTCAAACAAAGGTCGACGCGGTCATTGACCTCTTCCGAAAGCAGTGGCATAATTGCGTCTCGCCGACCGCAAAGGATCACAGCATTCGTCGCTGCTGGCAGCACGTACGCGCCAAGTGGCTCATCACAGGACGAACCCATCGCCACCACAAACAAGACGAAGACGTCAAGTGTCCGATATGAGAAGCCACGTCCGTCGTCACAGTCGTCGTGGACGCACCTTGACAGCGTCTTGGGATCGTCCGACCACATTGTAAACTTCCGCAGTCCGAAAGTGAGCGAGAACTTCACGCCACTCGCTGCGTTGCACAACCCTCTCGTATCGACACACACTCCCAGCATGCTCATGCAGCATCTCAAGGAGTTCGAACGACGCCCAGCGCGTGGTCGCGCAAAGCGCGTTCGGAACCCGACGAACCGAAGACGAGATGGAAAAGGCAGTGGTTTCGAAGGCGAAGTGCTGTGCAGAGTCGACCAAGGGCACATTCTCACGAATGGAAACGGCCATGACGTCCGACACAACATCGCAGACGCTACGTGTCGCCCAGCTGAGCTGACAGCTGCAGAGGAAGTTGCGCCACAGAACGCCAAACGACCCAAAGTGTTTGACCGCCCACCATCAGCGCCTGTGTCGCACTCATCGCCGGCTTCAAATTGCAGCAGTCGAAAGCAGCTCATCCGTCCCACACCATTCATCTGCGACACCCGACCGTCAGCTACCCTCGGCGACGACGTCGCCTTCAACTGGACGTTGCCACCCCGCCACGCGCAGCAGCCGCGTAGTCTCTCGTCCGCGACTGCAACGTCGGCATCCAACCACGCATTCGCCACGTCGGCCGAGGAGAAATGGGACCGTATCCTGGGCGACGACATCGACGACGGTACCAATAGCAGCGGCAGCCAAATAGACGACTAACCCATTCACCACTTGTCCTCGTTGTATCCACTTGAGCAGTCGCCACGCATTTGCCACGATCAACAACAGCAGCAGCTGAGCTAAGCCGAGTTGTCTCGTGAGGAGAAGCCCAGCTACGCGCGGCCAGCCTTCCATCCAGCCTTGCAACGCACGATCGACACAGCTACTGGAAAGCTACAAAGAGCTGCTCGTCCGTGCGGCGTCCACGTTACAAGGCAAATCCTTCTGTCGCGGGTCGAGCTTCGTCGTCTTTCCCCCCACCCCGCACCGCTCGCAAGGCAAAGAGCCGCCGCCGTCGGATCGCGTCGTCATCAGCGCTGCTCCATCGCATGGTCGACGCCGTCGTTAGGGACACAGGCGCCGGTACGCCGACTCTGGCAGCCCCTCTGACTGCGAGGGGCACCGGCACAAACTGATGGTGCGTTTGGTTGTCCATTGCGCTCGGAACTGGTGCGACCAGAGCCGCACGCGTTGGCCTTTCCCCGGTCACGAAGCTCGTCTCTTCCATGGACTCTTCCAGCGCGCGCATCCAGAACGAGCTGTCCCCGTCGCCCCCGTCGACCCCTCCCCGACGTCCAGAGTGCACGTCGCGCTGATAGTTGCGCAGCGGAGGCATTTTCTCGAGAAATCGGAGATTCGCGGCGATCATGGGCCGCTTCCGTCGTGGCTGGTCGTCGTCCGTGACCTGGTGGTCGTCTGCGGACTGCAGACCTTCGAGCTGATCCACGTCATTGGACTTGTGGTGTTCACCGCTCGCATACTTTGCAAGGGAAGAGGTCGACGGGCGCGTGCGCTTCGCGGTGTGCGATGGAGGAAGGGCCATGTCGGACGAGGAGGTGCGTTCTGCAGTTGTTGGGGTTGTTGAAGAGTGGGGGGAGGGGGGGAGGCGAAGGGCGGGAGGGAGCGGGGACGAAAGATCGGACGCGGGTCCAGCTACGAGCCGGGCAAGGGAGAACTACTTGTCTCTCTGCCTGCCTGCCTGCCTGACTGACTGCCTGCCTGCTTGACGCTTGTTCCCTCCGTGTTGTTTTGTTCGTAGACTGCCCGATCGTTTCGCGCAAAGAGACGTCGACTGAGATGGGTACCCTCCTGCACTGCAGGCAGGCGACAAGAGTGGCTCCGACTTTGGGAACTCTGCGGTCCCAGCTGTCCGTGATGTCGCAGAGCTCGCAGGCGTATGATGGGAAACCCCTTCAGCATCGCTCCCGCTTGATTTGGCGTCGGCAGAGGTGCCGTCAGCACGCGGGATGGCTATCCAGAGGGTCGTCATTCTCGCGACACCACCGCCATTGCTTCGATGGTGCGTCTTGTGCAGCGACAGCTTTGGCCGTGGCCATAGTGTGTGCCTGTAGGCTACGAGCCCTGGGGAAAGGATGCGGTCGGAAGGGCGGCGCTCTACCCCGCTGCTGCGCCCGTGTGTGTGATTCGCCTGGACAACTCTTCTTGCCGGATGTGGATTGTCCCCTTACTTAGGCGATCAGTTGCTGGCGACGCAACGCCATTTGACGAAGCTGCTGTTTAGCTGCTACATACACACTGCGCTGGTCTCGGATGTGTACGTGGAGCAAAAGATTGAGGAGGTGGTCGGCAGACATGTTTTTTTTTTGACATCGCGTATGGTTCAGTCAGATGAAGCAAACGGACTCGGGACTATCACGAACGTATGGTGAGAATGCTGCAAAGGCAGATAGTTGTTCGCTGCAACTTATCGCTCTCGTGCTGGGCCAACAAGTGAATGGCTATTGTGTAGAACTATATCCGCCTGTGCGATAATCAAAGCGGCTGTTACTTCAGACGTGGACATCGAAGACATGGCTTTACAATGGGTGGCGGTATCCCAGCCCTGGATAGTATCTACTTGCATCACGTCAACTGATTCTCCATGGGCACGGCTTATCGAATGTGGGGCCGTTCCATTCCAGTGCGCTGTCTTCTTCGACTATTTGTATCAGGGATGCTGTACGTCAGAAGGCCTTGCTGAAGATCGCTTTCGCAAAAAAGAGAAAGAGTTTGGTGCGCAAGTTGACGACCGGTTGAGCCGGAAGCGCACAGTTCAAGGGCAGAGGTGTCGCCACTACATCACCTGCGGGCCCTTGACTGGGATCGCAAGTGAAAACTTGAATAGAAGGTGCTATGGATCCTCTGCGGTCATAGTGTTGCGAAAGTGGTCAAACCCAGCCGTATCTACATCATTGCGAAGTTCTGGCCGACGCACGCATGTAGCTCTGATCCGACAGCACTGGAGACATAAAGGCGACAGAAAGTGGAGCTTACTTGTCGCAGCGTCGATCCTGCGCTCGGGCTCGAAGGGAAGTGCATTATCGTTCCGTGTGTTTTTGTGTCACAAGCGTTGCTGTACGAACAAACCCGGTTAGTCTGGCCCATGTCGGCAACTGCCCCGTTCACTAACGTCGTGTCCGGCATGGCTCACGTGCACTGAAGCCGTTGATGAAGTGTGACGAAAGCATGCTCTACAAGTTTCTCCGAGACGTGCGACAGACTGTGGATCTTGTCTGCGTCCGTACCCGAAGTTCGTCAGTATACATTCCCCGAAAGCTCCTTCCTCATCTCAGCGCGAATTTGGCACAACACCTCCGGATACCAGTTCGTCCTCACGAGCAACTACGTGCACGCAGTGTGCAGTCGAGTCTTTTTCAAGCAGACGAACTTGCCATGACCATATCACGCATGATGGCAGCATCATCGTCTTCACGGCGCATGTCCTTGTGGTGTACCGCAGACGATTGGGACCAAAGCTACTTGCACGATACAAGCACATTGATCTGCGTTTTTTCTTGTCTACTACTTCTGCCGTTGTGTCTGTTCATCTTTGAATGAGTAGGTGGCTGATGACTATCGCCGCTTTTTGCGCGTCTAGCGAGCAAGCGCTGATGCGAAATATCATGACAAACATACTGCAATCGTGTCAGATGAGATTGACGAAGGTAGCTAGCTGTTCATTCACCCCTGTCAATCACTGCTTTCAAAATGTAGTCTATAGTCTTCTTTTGTTATTGTATGCTGTCGTCAAGCGCATCAAGATGCTGCAGCTTCTATCGCTGTTGACTCTGTTGTAGTGATACACAAAAAACGCTCTTGTTCGTCCACGAAAAGCTCACTGCGCTCACTTGACTTGTATGCGAACACGCGCCGTCAAAAAAGCGAGGACTGTGACCAACCTGCTTTGTCCTTGGTCAGACCTCGCTCGCCTTCGTACTCATCGCCTCTCTGTTCCGTTGTGTGTGTACGTAAAGATCCAGCTGCACTTCGTTCGTGAGCTCTGTGAACGTCGAGCACTCGAACGTGAGAAAGAAGAACGTCAGGACGTACTCCGTCGCGCTGATAATGCCGAACAATACGACGGCCGCCCACGACCATCTTGACACCACGATCGACATCACATGGGTCACAAACACTGCAAGCGCTGCCACAAAGAAGGCTACAGCTCGCCGGAGCCGAGTCCGCCGAGCCACGAGCGCCTCCTTGCGGCCAGCGTGTAGTACTCTCAGCACCTCTTTTAGGCACGCTACATCTGCTGCAGCCTTGTCCTCCCCACACTGTTCCCGCCCTTGTTCGTTGCAGTGCGAACACGTCGTCGTGGGATAGATTTGCGCCACCAATGTCGCAGTTAGTGACCCTCCTTCGTCAGTGGGAACCACAGCGCTTGCAGTCCTTTGGTTGCAGATATGCGGTCGCGGATCACCGAACACAAACTCGGCACTGACGCCAAAGTGGTCCGACAACGGCGTCGTCTCCCCTCGAGCATCGATGAAAAAGCCCTTGAAGATGCTGCTTTGCACCAAATGCCAATTCAACTCGCCGTCTTGTGGTCGATTGATCTTGTACAGAACGTAGTCCATACGCATCGGATGTTCGCCATGCGAGTACTTGTTGTCAGGAGACGCAAACGTCAAGCCATCCTCGCCGTCGTTCGTATCGGTGAACGCGTCTCGCAGACACAGCAACTGTCGCGGCACTTTCAGCTCCAGACAATCGGGCGACGAGTTAAAGTCGCCACAGACAATGGTCAGGGGATTGCGACTTGTCGCCAAGACGAACTGCGAGAGTTCGTAGCTCTGGCCGACTCGATGCGATTGATAAAAGTCGCCAGGACCCGGCGCCCCTCGCGTGTTGTAGTTGGCCAGCAGATGGGTCACGTAGACGTCAATTTGTCCCGCAGGGGTCTCGACCCGGAGCAAGCCCACACCTTTATTGGCCACAAAGTCCGACTCGTGGAGAGCGTACGGTCGTCCACTGAGTCCAAAAGAGTGATAGAGGGCACTCGAGATGGGGAACGTCGACAGGACCAACAGACCCGTGCCGAACGAGTCGGCGCCCATGGGAAAGGGAAACCCCACCGCAGAATTAAAGTAGTGGTAGTAATGGAACCCGCTCTCCTGCGCTTTGGCAATGATCAAGTTGCGTTCGCGCACGTGCCAGATCTCCTGCAGCACAACCAGCTCGTAGGCAGTTGAGATCGCACGGGCGATGTGCACGGCGCGCTCCGTGCACTTGGGGGCGACTGGCAGACCTGCAGCATACACACACAGAGAGAGAGCGCGGGTCGGATCATTTCTATCGCTTTTTTCTACCGGCCCAAGTCACGCTGCGTCAACGAACGAACCCCAGGCGTTCAAACTGAGCACGCGGAGCTTCACTTTCTGCTTGTCCTGCTCTGTCCAGTGCGGCCATAGCGCCCGGGACGGCACGGGAGTTGCCACTGGGTCCAGATTGAGCAGGTCCTGGAGCACGCGCTGCACGACGTGCTCTTGCATTTCTAACGGCCGGTTTAGAAACGAACCACCCGACGACCGACGACAGCCGGAGCTTGCGCTTTTTGCAGTAAAGTGAAACTTGGGACGCGGATGTTTGTTGACAACAGGCACGGACCCGACGTGCGGACGACAGCGATTGGGCAACCTTTAAGAATTTTCGGTCGCGGTGCCTCGTCCATGCGAGCGGAGGAGACGTAAACAGCGCTGTGATTCGATAAAATTTGCCCACAACACGAGCTGGTTGTCGGTCGAACTCTGGTACGGCATACCAAACCGTCGCTGGTCGTGCGACAAGGTCCTACTTTCCTGAGCACAAAGTCTCCTCGGTGTCGGTCAGTGAGATACAAACTGGACATCAATAGTGCGTCTCGTCGTCGTCGTTTCATGTGGTAACGCGATCGCGACCCGTCGGCGCTCCGCGAAATGCGACGATGCTTACGTGATACACCCATTGGCTTTCAGTGGTCTACGCCGTGTGCCAGGACTTGGCCTATTGTGCTTACGGTGTTCCAGCGAGACATTGTCAGTTTGGCGTATGCATGAACGCGCGCGAAAGGAGAGTTTGGAATGACGATGCGTATTGTCATTCGACAGTATTGATAATCTTATTTGTGTGGACAAGTTTCCACTTGTGTTCAAAGCTGCACTTCATTTTTGGGTTGATTTAATCGATCACGATTCGCGTTTGCATTTTGCAAACAAATGAAAATTCATATGGATGTTCGTAGCTCTGGATGGGCAATCGATGCAACTAAACGAAAACATGTTGGCACGTCGACGTGCAGCGCAGTAGGAGGTAGGTGAAAGACAATCAGATTCTAGATTCAGTCAATGTTTATTCTTCCACCTGCTGAGTTCTCATGGCCATCTACGCCACCCATATCGACAAGCAGCCATTTAATTTCCAATCCAAACAAATGACGCTTATCCAAACATCAGGCCGAATCTCCGACCTATCGAATTGCATATACCTCGCTTTTCCACACTCCTCCTCAAGAGCGTCTCAGTATTCATCTATCTTTTTTCTCTCTCTCTCTCTCTCTCTCTCTCTCCCTCTCTCTCTCTCTCTCTCTTTCCCTCCTTTTGCAACTGCCATGCGCCGATATACCCGTCGCGCGCGCCTCGACGCTCTTTTGCTCTTCTCCATTCCGGCGGGGCGGCTCGCTTGGTTGCCGCTGGCTCTCCGTCCGCAAGCCAAGCTACACCAAACGCGTCAGACTGCGGAGCGTAGGCCAGCTTGGTCGCGTCGACAGCCTTCGTCATCAAGTCGGCGAGCATCAGCTCAGACCGAATATGCTGCACCTTCTCGACACCGCGTCGAGCTAGGTCGCACAGATACTTTTACCGCACGTCGATGTGCTTGGCCTTAATCGAGGAGGCTGGGCCTTCGAGCTGGTTAACGGCTGCCTAGTTGTCCGTAAGCATCAGGAAAGTAACAACCAGCGGCATGTCCACCTCTCAAAGCATCTGCCGCAAGCCGATAAGCTTGCGCGCGATCTCCGACGCCGCGATAAACTCGGCCTCCATCGTAGAGAGGCCCACGCCGCCCTGCTTCTTCGCGGTCCAAGACACCTCCATACCATTAAAAACACGACGCCTCCCGTCAGCGACTTCCAATCCGCCTTGTCGGCCGCGAAGTCGGCGTCGCTGTAAACTTCGAACTGCAGCGCGTCGCGACTCGTTCTCGCCAGTACCATATAGAGATTGAGCGCCACGTGCCCTCAAGGTACTGCGCGATGCTCTTGGCTAGCTTCGTCGAGATCCCGTAAGGCGTGCGTCTACTTAGTTGCATTGTAAATTGAAACGAAAATGTTCGGCTTCGAGCAATGTGGGACCCAAAGGCAGATACCTGACGAGCGAATTGTACGCGCCAATCGTCGCACCACTGCCTGCTCTCGTCGTCTCTAGCAGCGCTGCGGCATCTACTACCACCTCAAAGCGGTCGTGGCCGGTCGGCGTCTTGGTCGGGTATGCTTCAGTCATCGTGTGTGCGCGCAGGAGCTCCTTCATCACCTTCTCCTGATCAATCCGATACGCACCGTCGCTCCCGGGCTCCACCCGTATCCATTGTATTTTGCGGACGTGACCGAGGTCCTAATCAAAAAGCGACGACACCCTCGTGAAGAATCTCTCGACCTCCACGACACTCGTTTGATCGCCAACAAATCGTCGACGTACACGCCGAAAACGACCAGGTCGTCCTCATCGCGCTTGTAATACAGGAACATCTTTGTCACGCATCTCGTATAGCCGGATTCACTAAGCCGAGCTTTAGCAGCTGGCTCTATAGCCGTCCTGACTGCTTGAGACCATACACGCTCCTTCGAAGATCAAAAACAACCTCGCCTGCATGCGCCGGGCTTATCTAGTGCAGCGTGCTGTCGGATACCATCATACCATCCGGAACCTGCAACCAGACGTCGAGGTGCGCTTCTTTCTCGAAACGCATCGCACACACGCGTTAGGAATTTCACCATGCTTTTCCGGCCTATCCACGTCGCTGCGAGCACCAGAACGTTCTTCGCCTTCGAGATGTCCATCACGGCACGGAACGTCAGGTTGTAGTCGACGCCGAGCACCTGATCATTGCCGCACACGACAAGCCGTGCCTTGTACCGATCGAGCACTATGTCTGATCCCGTCATGGTCGTGAAGACCCATTGTAGTGGAGAGCCTTTGTGTCCGGGCTGCCCTTCGTCACGCGCTACACGTCATTAGTCTCAGGCGCGGAGATCTCTTCCTGAATCGCCATCGAATACTCCGAGTGCTTTAGGATACACATGGCCACGTCATTATTTAGATCGCGCTTGAAAGCTGCGCTGACCTACTCGTCTATTACGATTCGCTCCTCCTCGCACGTAGCCTCTTCCGCGCCCTTCGATGACCCGCGCGTCGTATGCGCTTGTCGTGTCCACGGATTATTGCTTTCTTCTCGAGCGCTACGATACTCTTGCGTTTTTTCATTACCGTTGCTGGTCAACACTGCCACCACTGCTGCTGGTGCTGAATCTTCTGTATCATCGGCTTAATCTACCACTTCTATCGCGCACTGTAGCTGCGCGTTCTGCGCGTCCGACAGCATCTCGATGCTTCTCACGTGCTCAGCTACGAAGGCCTTGTTCTCTTTCCGCAGCATCACCTTCAGCCCTTCGACTGATCGCTGATGCGGACATCGACGCCGCGCTGCGAGCGCTATTGCAGCAAGCTTAAGCGTTTACCCCTGTGTGGCCTCGTTGCTCCCAAGGCAACGAGGTATCGTATATCCGTCGCCTTGCCAATCAGCACACGAGACACGACGCTCTCTTTTCATTCGCTCACTTCGGACTTCGTTTGAGATTGTGAATGCGTACAGCACCGCGTCGCGTCAGAACTAAAACGGCAGCTCAAATGCAAGCGTTAATGCGCTCAAGGTTCAACACCGTCCGGTGCAGATTTTCCGTTTTTTCGTTTAAAGCTTGATTGCGCGTCCCCGACACTTGGCGCGCGACGCCTATCCTATTGCAAAAGAGTCCGACATAGGCGTACCCTCCACCACCGTCGGTGCGCAAGACATGCAATCTTAAATTGGAGGGGTTCTCAAAGAAAACTTGGAACGCCTCGAAATGTCTTGCCGCTGCTTCCTTGGTGCGCGCGAAAAAAATGCGGTAGCAGTTCGACTTACGGTCGATAACGTTGACCAGGTATCGATTGTGAAGCCGATACTGCGGCGTCAGCGGCCCCTTGAGGTCTGAGCAGATAACGCCACCGACCTTGTCGATCGGCGAGAAGGCACCTCTAACGCAATGCGGCTGTGCAATGCGTGTCTACTTGCCAGCGAGGAAAGTTTCGCACGCCATGCGCTTGTGGCTGGTCTTTTAAATGCACGATGCTGAATTGAGCACCATGCGCGCGATCGTGTCAATTACGAGGTGGCAGGGACGCTGGTACCAGTGTGGCAACAAGGCTTCGTGCACACCGTCCGCGTATCCTTCCATCGCATGCGCTTCGAAAGCAGCCATTATCTCGTAGCCGGCGCTATGCATGACGCTCGTCGCTGACATCTCCACATACAGTACCTTGCTGTCGACCGCGACGTCGAATGCGAAAAAAGCATCGCTTCTTCATGCCAGCGATCGCTTGTCGCCTTCGTAGACGAGGGCAAAGCCCTTGCTCTCGATCTTGCCATACGACACGATGGTTTTCAACAGTAGCGGGTCGAGGTGTACCTCCGTCAACGTCATATTCGTCTCCTAGCCGCACGCGAGGACCTTGATACGCACGCTACCTACGCGCTCCAAACGCAACGCGTGCATATCCGCTATTGCGATCTTGTGATCGCATGCGGTCGACTCCAGTACCAGATTTTCGTCCTTTAGGAGATGCCGATTTGCGCCGCTGTCGAGGATTTGGTCGCCCCGTCCAAAAGCTTATGCATCGTGCGCCGTAAGCACAAAATCGCGCGCTACCCGCAGATGGTAATTTGCCGTGCGAGCCGTTCTTCTTCGTCTTGCGATGCTTTGGGATCGCGCGCTTGTTGCCTTCTTCGTAAGAGCGAGCACGTAATCGCTCCCGCTCTTCATTCCGCTCACCTCGCAGTCGTACAAAACTCGCGCTTTGCACTCGGGACGACGTTTTGTTTCCGCTGTGGAAGGGCTAGTCCTTCCACAGCGGAAACACACCCGGGATCTTGCCGCTTTGTCTCCACGTGCGCCGCGACGATCTCGAGACCTACCGCTACGCTGCTTATCTCGATCTACTGCGTAAAAGCCGCCAGCTCCTCCCAGTGACGCAAGTAGTCGGTCCTCATCGGCTCGTACTTATCGCATGGCTTTCAAGAGCTCCAGCGACGTGTAGAGCACGATGTTGCCGTGTACGTGAGAATCGACGCCGCTGTGCGGGTTGCTAACTACAACGATGTAGAGGGAGTGCGTATCATAGGTGCGTCGCGCTTTTTACTTTTACATAAAACGATTCATGGCCTGACTAGCCGTGACATTCATCTTAAACTTCTGGTTCAGCAA